ACTGCTCAGGAGTAGCCACTGCAGGCTTCTTTGTCACTAGGCAACCAGGAGACGCCTACCTAAGGACAGTCCCCAGGAGTCCCCATGGGAGACCTTAAATCATGCCTTTGATAGCCCAGGAGGGTTTGGTCGGGGCACCACAGAAATAACATCCCCTCTAGGCTCAAACTCCCGCATGATTACTATACAATTCCATGTAATTCTGGTAACTGTAAACAGAAAACCTTTCGCCTTCTCATAGCCAGTTAAGACTCTTGGTATCTTTCTGTCCAAATGATCTCTCTAAAATCGTGACCTTATTTTAATTTTACTGTGTAAGAGTTGGGTCCAGTCTCATTATGTCCATTTGTGACTTTAAGATTATTAGTCAGGAATGAGGGTACTGTAGCTGTGACATGACATGGGCTGCAGCCTTAAATCCCTCGCCTCAGCTGAGGGAGGAGGGTAGCTTCGAAGAGGTTCTGGCTTTCTTGTGACTGGGGAAGGCTGTGACCAGTGCCTGGAATTCTTCAAACTGCTTTGGTAATAAATTCTGCTTGTAGCACCTGGCTGCTGTCGTGATTTGTGCCTCTGTTTAGGGAGGAATGGACTTAGGTTTATCATTTCACAAAAGAAAAGGTCCAGTAATTTCATTGTTGGAAATTTACATTAATGATTTCTCTTCCTCACAGCAAGCCAAATGCATGTGGTTATTTTACAGCTAAAGAAATGGAGAAATCAGGTAATTTGCTCAAGGTCACACACTACTTTCCTTATGTCATCTCCAGAGGAGGGTCGGATCTTGAGACTTCTGTCTACACACAACACATGCACAGACTAGGCAGCTACATCGCCCATTGTGCCCACTTCTCTGAGTCCTGTTAGCTCAGGGCCAGACTTGCCAGCTGCCTTCTCTCAAAGCTCTCTCCCAGCTCAGTGGTGCCCAAAGGCTTCCAATAGGAATGCCCCTGAAGGAGGTGAACTTACTGTGTTAAGTTCACAAGTAGCACTTTTCCTCTGATTTGGTGGAGGGAGGAGGCCACTCAACCTGAAAGGGACTTAGGAGCTGCAGAGGGACCCCTGGAAAGGTAAGACTACCAAGTACAAAGACGTGTTACTTATGACACAGTGGTGATTGGGCTGTGTCTTCTAAGTCAATATCTTGGAGCCTTGATTTCCTGGTCTGTTAAATGGGCTTCCTGATGCCTGCCATGCGGGAAATTCCAAAAAATGAATGGGCTGATTGAAAACAGCAGTTGGAGAATACTTCCCACTTCCAAATCCCCGGAGGAGCTCTCAAGCTACTGTGCTATTTCACAGCTTCCCATGCAAGGGCAGAGAGGGTGGCAGGAGAGGAGGTGGTGTGGGTGGGCTGCCAAGTCAGTCCTTGGGTGGTGAGAGGGCCCAAGGCAGTATTCGAGAGCTGTTGCTGGGCTCCCTTGACTCCACATCCTCTGGAAGAATCTGCAGGAAGCCCAAGAACTCATTCCTCACACCACCCCTAAGTGTTTAGAAAATATTTCTGGAATCAGTGAATCAGTCCCGGAACCAAGAATATAAATTTCCCGTGGGCTCCCTGAGCTTGAGTGGCTCAGCCAGCTTCTGTGTGCTCTGTCAGAGGTGCCTGACACCCAGTTCACTTTCAGTCAACACAGGGCCCCACCCAGCCGGCACTCCCAGCATGGGGTAGGGTGTAAGGGTGGAGAGCTGGGAAGAAGGGCCCTGCAGGCAAACTAGAGGGTGGAAGGGAAGGCTGCCCCATGGACACCATAGGAGAAAGGGGACTCAGTTCTGTCCACTCCTACTTGCCATCCACCTTTGTTACCACCGATGCTGACATGAAGTCCCCTCTGATCTTCCAATCCCTGTTCTCAGGCCGTGCCAGCCCTACTGAGTAGCACAGTGCTGCCTCTTCTTCCTGGTTCCTGTTTTGCTCCCTTTGGGAGAGGAAAGGGGGTCAATGGGGAAGTTGGTTGGGTCAGAGTTTAGGAGTGGGGAGGCAAATAGGATTATTGGATATTTACCTTTCGCCAGAACTGTCCTCTGCAGATGATCTCAGCCTAGGCTTGAAGTAGAAGCCAAACAGCAGGGCTCACACCCCTCACTGACCTGAGATCACTGGATCTCACCTTCTGTAGCAGCGTCTTGGGGTTGCTCGTATGGGAAAGAGCCTCTGTCCTCTGTCTTGGATCCATGAGGCCTATGAGAGGCAGCTGTAAAGGATTTGATGCTAGGATTCCTGGGTTCTATCTAACCTGGGCCTGCCATCAACTGTGTGACTTGCCAAGTCACTTCAATCCAAGCCTTGGCTTTCTCCCTTCTTAATGGTAGGGTTGGGCTAGATCAGCGATTTTCAAACGTCGTGCTGCAAGAATTTTTAAAACATGCAATACCTGACTAGTCAGGGGCACTGACCTCTTTTCCCTTAGGTTGTCAAATAAAAAAATGACAACAGCCAACACAACAATAACCATGAATGAATCAAAGTCAGGCCTATTTTTTTGTCAGATCGGCAAAAAATACAATACAGTATTTTGGTGTGCTGCCGAATTTTAGTAATTAGTTTATGTGTGCTATGAGATGAAAAGATTGAAAATGACTAGGCTGTGTCAGAATGGCTGCCATCAACAAATCAACAAACGACATGTGCTGGCGAGGGTGTGGAGAAAGGGGAACCCTGGTGCACTGCTGGTGGGAATGCAGACTGGTGCAGCCACTATGGGAAACAGTATGAAGTTTCCTCAAAAAATTAAAAATGGAGCTGCCGTTTGACCCAGTGATCCCACTCCTAGGAATGTACCCTAAGAATCCTGAAACACTAATAGAAAGGATATATGCACCCCTATGCTCATAGCAGCACAGTTTACAATAGCTAAGGTCTGGAAACAGCCCAAGTGCCCAGCAGTAGATGAGTGGATAAAAAAGCTGTGGCACATTTACACCATGGAGTACTACACAGCTGTAAAGAAGAAGGATCTTGTACCC